AAAAAATGCACATTTCTTCGTCTTTTAATTGACAAAACGGCTTCGGCTGCCATTTTTTGATGATACAAAATAAACGTAGGAGTACACTCAAACAGAAAAAGACAGTGCAATACTCTGAAACTGCTTGCTCCTCGCTTGCATTCACTGGTTTATTGGACCAATTGTAAAGTTTTGAAACTCTATTACTCCCCTGAATAGAGTTTGCAGTGCCTTGTCATGCAAATATTGCTAGATTTCATCTTTACGTCCCAAATATTATTTACATCGGAGTTGCATCATAAATTGTACACGGATTCAAACGACACAATGTCATTGATTTTATAAAAGTAAAAGCATATTGTGTATTGGCCTATTGGGTTTACACTTTTACAGGTTCATTTAACTCAAGTCTCAACAGACAATCAGACAGGCCAAATCCATTGATATGACAACTTCAAAAAACTTTTTTCGAAGCTAGAAATCATGATTTTTTTCACATTTTTCCAGGGATACTTTGTTTTCTGCTCTCTAGACTCCCACTCGCGGCTCTAGTGCTCCACCTCTAGAATATAGACCTTACTGGGGTTTGGTGACACTTTGTGTTGCTTCAGTCACCTGCTCGCGGTTCACCCCCCTAAAATTTCTGGCACCACCCCAGTAAAAAATATGAAAACTAGATAGTAAAGTCAGCGGATTTTTGTATCAAAAGCGATAGCAATGCGTGCGTAATTAAACTTTATAGAACTTCAAATCATTCATGATACACAGCGATAATCAAAACCCCAGCGGGCAAAATGACGTTTATCCAACGTTGAATCAACGTTGGAAATGACCTTCCAGACGTTGGATAGACGTTGAAAAAGGGTTGACTATGCAAATTGGATCGACGTTACTGTTTCGACGTTGAAACAACGTTGAAATTAGGTTGCTAATCTCGTCAACCATAATTAAAACAACGTTGAGATTGGTTCACAAATCGACGTCGTACATTTAACCATGAATGAACGTTAATTCGACGTCTGTTGGCTGCTGTTGAACCAATGTTTGTAAAACAACGTCATTGCAACGTAGATATTAGGTTGTCGACGTCGCAACCTTTTTTCTACCAAATTTCAACGTTGAAACAACGTCGTGTGCCCGGTGGGACGTGCGTTGATCAAAACGTGCGTTTGGCGTGTCTCAAACGTGCCATTTTCAACCAAATTTCACTGGTACTGGGCCATACATTTGTCAGGCCATAATTTTGTCTGGCCTGATTTTGACTGTTTATGGCATCCATTTTGCCACGTGTTGCTGAGGAAGTGATACCGACAAAGGAAAAAGGTCGCTTCGCGAGAGAAAATTCGCTAGTGGAAAACCGGCTTTAGGCCGCCGGAATTCAAAAAACGCAGACAACTAAAATTCATTGACAATAGTTTACACTTCAAACTTTTGGATAAAATACGTTTGTAAAGTTAACTTTTGTTCAAGTATTTTTGCTTTTCCGTCAACAGCGATTAAATTACTTTTATATTTCAAGATAAGACCATGATGGTTTTTAAGGGGCATGCATTTCAGCCTTTGATTGATTTCCTGGTTACAGTTTTCAGTTAAAAGGGCTGTAATGCGTCTTAAAAACCATCATTCAGAAGGCTGAACTGTGCCTTTAAGAATCAGGTCGATATCTTCATCAATGAATACATCAATATCAGAGCTGACAGGTACCACCCAATCTGACAGCTCTCTGGTTGAAGACAATGAAGAATATATAAATGCTCTTGGAACAAGACCGCCAATACCAGATGACTTCATGATGAAGGATGAATACATCTTTGTTTCACTGTTGTACTGACGAAGAAAGTAGACCAAGTGCTTCAACTATTGTTGCCTCACTTGAACCAATCATTGAGCAAAGAGGAATAACAGTTTAGATTGTGTAAATGTATTGAACTGTATCTAAGTAAATGGATCGGCGACACAACCTTGTTTGAGTCGAGGTTTGAGTTACAGGACACAGGAAAATGCTTTGTAAATCTTTCATCTGTTTCATGACGTTTTGACTTTCATGACTTCGCGGGCACAACGGAGAGGTTCAACGTTGACTTCGATTACCGCTACCTCTCGCTGCATGGTTTCATGCGCATCTGATTGGTTATTCGGATATATCAAACGCATCTGATTGGTTAATTAACAATTATTCACCGAAGGCGAGGTGATATCGGTGAATAAAAACCGAGACGAAGTCGAGGTTTTTATTCCCGATAATCACCGAGCCTGAGGTGAATAATTGTTTTAGTATAATTTCATAGGTGATTATTTGGGGAAAATCGCTTAGGTGATTATCGCGTAATAATCACCTCAACGGTAACCAATCAGCGTGGAGAATTTTCAATAATCACCTATGTAATTATACTAATGTCCCTTAATGGTAGTGGGAGTCAAATCTGAACCTCTCTAATATAATACCATAGGCAGGCAGAAAATATACCGCTATCTTCACATGGAAGTAACTAAAATAAAATATATTTTAATCAATTAGTTAATTAAAGTTTAAAACTATGCTTGAATGTTCTTGTTTATATTAAAGTGATTTTGCTATCCAACGACTTATACTTGTGCATCTCATATTCATGCAGTTTTGTATTACCATCAATAATCTTATTGGCGTGCGCGCATGATCGGGTTCCCAGGGTAAAGTTTTAGATTTATGTCTCACCCTTTCCGAGTGCTTACCACTCATGATGCTTACCGGCTAGCCACATAACCACTGACCCTAAACCATAGATAGCGAGACACGAATCTATACCGACAACGCGCAATCTCGTTTAATTTCGTTTGGTATCGGAAACTGGACAACAGTTGCAGGACGCGTAGAAGCTTATGAAGAAAGTGAATGATATATAGTCATGTGTACAATCACAGAGTAGATACATATACAGAGTTATAACTGGTGTACCCACTTTTTTCGTGCGCATGCTCGGCAAGTTACTAAATGCATGCATCTGATTGGATGACGACTCACAAAAAAAGTGGGTACATGAAAACGTAAGCTTCCGCAGTGTTTAGAACGGTCAGTTACAGCTCTGTATGTCTCTACTCTGTGGTACAATGCATAACCTGATCGTTGGTGATATAGGAGAGGTTCAGATTTGGCTACCGCTACCTCACTGTTTTGGTACGCACCTGACTGATTGGCTAATCGGATGTATCAAACGTATCTGATTGGTAATTGTTAATGGGTAGCAGTAGTGGGAGTCAAATCTGAACCTTTCTATTATCCAGAAGCGAAAGACAAAGAAGGAACCTGGACCTGCATGATTAGGTCTAATAAACGTATAAAATTTACACTCGAATTTCCATCTACAAAATTCGTGACTCAATGTTAGGGTTTTTCAGCTGGGCTGGCCCGATTAATTGGGATGCTTCATTAATAAAGCTCTTATCACGGCTTTTATAAACATCCAAAATGACATTTCATTTGAATTAGCTTTGTTTGATTTCGGGAAACAGTATAAAGTTCATTCAAACGCGATCTGAGTTTTATGGTCAGGAAAAAAATTTTGTGACATGATACATATATGAATAGCCCCTTACTGACCGAACACTGACAGATGATGATCTTAAAAATTTCAAACACCAGAGGCCGGTTGTACGAAAGTCGGATAGCGCTATCCACCGGATAGTGATTTTTTCAACCTTTGTAAAATGCTTGAAAAACTTTGAAACTACGGATGTAGACGACACAAGAAGTATAAAAAACATTCAACTTATAAATACTAAACTTTAATACGAGTTATACCAATCAACGACTGATTTAACAATGCTTAAAAAAAATCACTATCCCGCAGTGGATAGCGCTATCCTGCCTTCATACAACCGGCCCCAGGAATCAAGACAACATATGAACATACCGCAATTTATAAACAAATATATTCTTGGGCTGATTGAGCGTATTTTATTACAGCAATATGAAAACCATATTTATTTCAATTCTGACACTCCAGAGAACAACGAAATATCAGTTCTTTCATGAGTTAAACCGTAACGAATATTTCATGTACTTCAAAGGGTATTAGCAACAAAACATTTTATTGCTTCATCTGAAAGAGCATGAAAAAATAAACCGATTGGCCGTTTAATGCTCTATCTCATCTAGTTCCGAAGTTATGCGCAAAAATGTGTAAAATATAAATTGCTGATTCAGCACAACGTGTGACGTCATTAGTTGGGTAAGTATGTTTAATGAATACTAAACTGAAGCATAGCTCAGTTATTATGGGCACAAATCAAATGAAATATTGCATACTGATTGTACATGATGAGACGCATTGAAAAAGGCATCAACTATTTCGCTGACCTCAGAATGACATTTCGTCAAAACGTTTTTCTTCCAGATTGCTTTAGAAACAAATTTGGCATAGGGTTAGGTTAGGGTAAGGATTAGGGTTAGAGTTGGTGTTTGGAGTAAGGTTAGTGTTAGTAAAACCGTTGCTTTGTTACGTTTTGTCACTTTGAGGCCAGCGAAATAATCTCTTCCATTGAAAAACACTTCTAATCTTGTTGCCAAGGTAGGTCAAGGTAACAATGTCGTTCCCATGCCCCTTGCGCCAATTTTATAAAACAGCTTTATTCATGGTACTGATAAGGATAAAATAATATCAGAAGTATGTGTACCATACCTATGCATGCCAAAAGTTTACTTGCATGATAATAATTCGAAAATGACATACACATAGATAAATGCAACTAGTTATTCAAAATCAGTTTAAGGGGACTGGGAACGACTGTGTTGCCTTGACAACAAAATTAGAAGTATTTTCCCATGCGTCTCATCATGTACTGTCTGTATGCAAAATTTCACTTGATTTGAGGCAATAGTAACTTAGATATACTTCAGTTTACTATTCAATAGACATACTTACCCAACTAATGACGTCACACGTTGTGCTGAATCAGCAATTTATATTTTACACATTTTTGCGTATAACTTCGGAACCAGATGAGATAGAATAGAGCAGTAAACGGCCAATCGGCTTATTTCGAATACGAAACTTAGAACTGAATTTCAAGTCTGAGCAACTTGTCCGAGTTTGGAAGAATAGTTCGACTTGAAGCTAGACCAGTTCGAACTTGAGGTTTGAAAATGACATGTCATAAATCATTATATATAATTAGAATGAAGTGAATTTGTTTTTATCAGTTCTACGACTGATCATGCATCACCAGCTATAATCAATCATCACGTGGGTAAAATAGAGCAATATGATTGGTTAAGTTCCTAGTGAATTAAAATGAGTTTGAGATAAAATTGGATAAACTTGATTCCAATTCCTTCTCAATGTCTAGCTCTAAAAACCCAAAGATACGAGTATGAATTCCGCTTAAAACAAGTCTCGCTGTTCTTTAGTGTCAGAATAAATACGAAAGTTGCCTTATTTTATGGCTGCTGCTAAAAGTTGTACATGTGTGATTATGATAATTGTGTTTTTTTACATAGTTATATGAGATCAGTCTATCACATTGTTATCTTGATGTCTGAATTTAATTGACAAGTAATTTGCCCTGATAACTATGCTTGTTGAATAGAATGCCTATTGCCTTTCCTTTCTTCTCAAGATCAGTTTTTTTACTTTATCAGTGCAGAGAAACCCCAAGGCAACATAGAACCCTTGTAGACCATTAGTGAACACAAATAAATAATGAAAAGCCATAATGTGGGGAAATGCGATTACTAATACTGCAAATAACCAAGAACTTCCCATAATAGTCGACATTCGAAGGTATATCCCGATCTGGATCCTCGTAGGAGCATCGTCCTTCTCCGCCAAGTTTCGCCGTTCGTTCGTACATTCACGGAGAATGAACATTGTTCTTGAAAGTAGTATAAAATTAACAAGAAGCATTGTTAGTCCGGGAATGCTGAATGAAATATACGCACTGATGTCGTGTGTAAACCAACAATTGCCGGGATATTGTTCCGTAATTGTAATGAAATTATAATAATATAGCAGCAGGCAATCAGCAGAAAGAACAAAGGAATTCTCAAGCTGTACAATGCATAATATACGAAGCTTTTCGCTGAATTTGAGCGAGCTACCTTTCCTTTAGAAATATTATAAAACGTGAGGAAAGAATGAAATGCAATTGAAGTTGTGGATGAAAGGGAAGCTAAGAGAATATATTGCAAGGCGAAAACAATTGCAACACAGGCAGATGAAGATAACAAAGATAAATATTTCTGTACTAGCCATAACAGTTGAGCACAAGCTAGTGTAGCACTAAACAACATGAGGTTTTTGCCTGGGAGGTTTCTTAATGCAGGGAAATGTGAGTAGATTACCAGAAGAACACGCACACTCACAACAGACAATGATTGACAAACAATTTTTGAATATGACAGGATGGTCTTATGTATCGATATCGGCGAGGTTGAGACACGAAATAATGCTTTTGGATGATTTGAACAAAATCTCAAAACTCCATCGACTATGCTGTACTGTCCATAGTTCAACCATACTTTATTGTTCACATGCGTATAAACAGAACCATTCTCAAAAATGGACCAATCAGATTCATTCTTTACTTCAATATATGAATAGGAACAATTTCCAGGCCAGTAATCTTTACAAACAGTCAAACGTTTCCCGTTCTTCAAAACCAAATATTCCTTAAAGCTGTCCAGTTGTCCAGTTTTATTAATAAATACGCTTTTGTTTGCCAACATTTCCATTTCATTCATTGAAAATGTCTTGTTTTCCCCGCAGACCATTTCACGAACAATTCTTGAATTGAGAGAATATTTACAAAGTCCTCTCGTAAATTTACGTGAACGAGAATGAAAAGTTAGACTTTGAAACTTAAGTTCTTGGTCAATGTTATTATTCGTAAGCTCACTTTCCTTCGGGTTCTCTAGAAGTTCAAACATAACACGAAAACTGCTGTTCCCAATTATATCCATTTTAAAATGCATGAATTTCGAATTTCTTCCCATTAAATTTATTTATTTCTAAAAGTTTCTTAAAGACATCTATGAGCCTAGTCACCAAGTGGACATCCTCTGACCCTTTAGATAAAGATATACAACAACTGTCCTGGAGGTCCTGGTACTCGAAAATGACAGCATATCGTTTTAAAACGTCTTTGAAGGTGACGTTTTCAAGAAGATTGATGCGTGAAGTCTGGTTGTGTATTGGATCTGGTAGATATTTGTATTGAGGAATGGATAAAGGTGAAGCGTGTATAATAAAATAAAATAAAGGTGAACGCTTTCCAGATGGTGTAAAATGAAATAATGTTGGTCCGCATCGAGCACTGGAAACGATTCCGTCACTCAATGAATTACAAACAACACAATCCCAGTTACGATAAGTGTCGTATGATGACACTGATATCAAACCAGTTTGACAACCTACAACTGATTTTTGATCGTTGGAATATAAACATTCCGAACTAACATTATGACAATATCTTTTACACCAAGTTTGTTTCAAATTTAATGATTTTTTTGTGCAGAAGAAATCAAGGAACACGGCCCATTGTCTTTCAGAGTAGCCTGCAGGATGTTTGACGTCACAGTACACGTCAAACTCACATTGGCTGAACTCTGTAACGTTATTGCAAGTTGCACAATATCGATTGAAGAAAGTATTGTTATATTGATCAATGACGGGAATTAGTTGGGAAGTATTGTTTGGCTCCATCTCGGTACATCTTCGTAAAACGTCGTCGTCGTTCCAGCCCGGTCGACATTTTCGGATCATCCAAATATTGTGATGGTCAACATCCATGCACTTCCATCGATTATCAAACTCACTTCCTATATGATGTTCTAGCAAGAAGCTCGTATTGCATTGTTGATGAAAATCTGCGCAACAGTCTTTAAAGACCGTGTTGCATTCTGGATCACAGAAACAGGAAGATTGGTGATTATTTTTGCTCAATTGTCGTTCAAAGCCACAGCGACTTTTGCAACTCTTGTCGTCCTTACATTGGGGTGATTGTGGTCGTCCAGTTATGTTCTTTTCACGTGCTGTTTTGTTTTCAAAAGAGAGTTCTTTATTTTTGTAATTGCTGGATTCTCCGTTCTTGATAAAGATAGCGACAATAGTAGGGTTTACGTTAGTGAAAAAAGACGGTTGATGTTTTACTGACGTAGGGTTTATGCTATTCTGAGTAACTTGTGTAATCCGGAATAGCTTTGGACTTATCACAAGTGTAGAATTGAAGACACTTGAATTACTTGATTGATTGCTGTTTTTTGCAGCTAGTCAGCGCCGGGTAATGTGTCGCCAAAAACCAAACGGTCGTGTTGAACATTCGCGCAATTCTATTCGCTGCCATTGGCGTTACTCTGCAGTTAAAGTACTTTACCAATGTGAACCTGTATAGCGAGATAACAGGTATAAGTTAGTGTTGTCATTGAGTCTTTTGAAAAAAATACAGTTCGGTTCAAAGCTACATTAGCAAATTTGTACTTCTGCATGCCTGCAGCCTGCTCATTTCAAAACGTTTCAAAATAAAAATTATATCAATATATCTAACATCGCCATGTATACAAGCTGTGCAGAACATATACTTATAAAGTCTTTAAGGCCTGTTTATATATTTAGAATGTTAGGGCTTGTAATTCAAGTGAGTATATATACATTTTAAGACCTAACCAGGAACGACTGCGAAAAATGCAGCACGAGGTCCTCTGGTAGGAATTGAAGCTACGGTCCTGCGATCGCAGGGCCGTAGGTTCAATTCCTACCAGAGGACCTTGTGCTGCATTTTTCGCCGTCGTTCCTGGTTAGGTCTTAAAATGTATATATACTCACTTGGATTACAAACCCTACTACATTCAAATATTAATTCAGTAATATTAATTCCACCAAGTGAAATGCAATAATCCAAATAATTGAAGTCCGTTTAAATATTTGCATTTTTTGTTGCGATTTTAGGTGCAATTTCTTCTTCAAGTTTTTCAGCTGGATGTGAACGAGTAGATAAGTTATCAACGTTTATAGGAAGGACACATATATACATTCAGAACGTTCACAACTCATGCATTTACTTGTTTATATGCATCAGAAGTAAAAAAATCACACTAGCTAGAAATAGCAGCACTACAATTGCAAATATTATATTCATGCGCAGATATGCTACTTATCTCTTACCTTAGTTAATATGTAGTCGGTTGAACTGAAGCAAATTTTCAGTGCAAAACGCTCTGCGTAGCACAAAGTGTACTCTTTTTATATTCTACAGTAATTCCTGCAATATAAACAAATGAAAATCGCTGCGTCTGGGATTCATTACTTGATTCCGCTGGGATTCACACGGAGTCGAAATAAATTAGTTTAATTTGATTAATTAAAAACGCTAAGTCGGTACAATTACAAATAGTATAGCTATATCAGGTAATTAAAATTTGGGGTATATTTCAATAATTTAAATGAGTTACAATACAGGGCCGTACACAGAGGGGGGGGGGGGAGGGGCAATGCCCCTAGAAAAAAACTATATTTACGATTTTTAGAATTACATTATTAATTATTCTTTGGGTATTTGGGACTTTTTTCGGCATATAGGCCTTACTGCCCCCTTAGTGAAAAATCCTGCGTACGGCCCTATATCAATATATTAGTCGTCTTCATTACATTTGGAAAAATGATGTATACGATTGTACGGTGCTTAGTTTTTTACCTAATACTATGTTATAAAAGCTGATTTAATACACTAGATAGATATACCGCAGGGTATCTAAAAAAAACGAAGTCCAAATTTAGCATGCAATGGTGCGTTAATTACTCTGCCCAGTGACAGTGTATTGACGTAATTTTTTCACGTAGTTACTAAAACAATAACTGAAGTTCAGGCCCTAATCACAGAATAGGGCCTGACACAAAACCTATCTAAACTGTGGGATTCCCGTCCACCTGGTGGACGGGAAATCTGATTGGTTGATCAGCATCATGAAGGATTTTGATTGGTTGCAAGTTCACATAAACAACAGTTTTAAAAATAGCTCGGTCAAGGCGAGAATTAATATAAAGGTCAAACGCACGTAATTCCATTCCATTATCGATTTCTTCGAATTTCTTTTCTTTTATGCTTTATGGCAGAAAATAAATCGAACAAACAGTATTTTGAAAGGGCTTTATCAAAATCTTGGACGAATTTTGGACACACACGACGCTAGTGAAAGAACAGCCAAACTAGTCATGTATTCGAAAGCTTGTTGTTGACAGCCAAGATGTTCTGCCAACTTGCTTCGCCGGCAAAAGTCTTATTTTTAATATCAGGTACTACCGGCGTTGTTTTCTGAGCTACATCGCCTTCTTCGTGGTATGATTGAGTTTAACTTTAATGCTGTTGTTAAGGCCCTGTTACACGGTGCAATTTTTCATGCAACTTGTCTCGCAATGGCGTTGCGAGACAAGTTTCACGAGTCATTGCACCGTTTAACATGCCTTGCAATGGTCAAAATCGTTGCGAGACAAGTTGCATGAAGCATTGCAGAGAGTAGAAGTCGATTCTACTTTTGGCAACGATTGCACTAATTATTTTAAGCGTTGCAGCGTGTAACATGGTTTCGTGCAACTTGTCTCGCAATGTTTATAGCTTGGAGAGTTCCTATTGGCTCTCCCCAGTACACGCTTTATTTTAATTAAAATTTGGCGCCAAATAGCGCCTCTCCCTAGTCTCTTCGCATGCCTCTGTCCCCTATCGTTGCGAGTTGCATGAAAATCATTGCAGCGTGTAACACCTCTTGCAATGCATTATCAAAATCTTTTTATAAACATTGCGAGACAAGTTGCATGAAAAATTGCACCGTGTAACAGGGCCTTTAG